ACCCTGGTTTGGGCCCAACCCCGCTCCGAGATTGGAGCAGGCACATCCAAGCCTACAAGGGGAGGAGGGATGCCTTCCCTGGCCCCTAAGAGTGCAAAGAGGCCTGGGTCCACAGCCCCAACTTGGGCAGCTGCAGCTGTGTGGGGTGGGGGGCTCCTACTCGTGGCCCCCAACAACACAGGGAGGACTGGGTCCACAGCTCTGACTTGGGTGGCTGCAGCACCCAAGCACCCCGAGGAGGGCGGGGCTGCTGCCTGCTCCTGGCTTTCGTCAGGTCTGTGGAGTGTGCCCCCTTGTAGCCTGGAGCAGGGGCTCCAGGTTCTCGCTGGGCCCAGGCCGGTATCCAGGGCAGAGGCAACATCTCTACCAGCTCCCCCTCACCCAGCTTGTGGCCCTGCCCTAGGGGGATGCCTCCAGGAGCAGATTGTGGGTCCTGGGCCCGGCCCTTGGGAGTGTCAGGCCTGGCAATCACCCTGATGCAGGGTGGAACCCAGGGATGCGGCCCTGGGCAGCCCTGCTCAGAGCCTCACTGTGAGGCACAGGAACCTGGTGCCCTCGGCAGGGTGGGTGCAGTGACCACGCTGCTGGCCAGGTCCCTGAAGCAGGCACTGCTCCCATTTCCCGCCCCAGACCCCCAAACTGCACCTCCAGCTCCGCCTCCTACTCACACCCTCCCCGCAGCATTGGTGGGCAAGAGTGGTGACACAGGGTCAGGAGCCCGGGAGGCTCTGGCCCTGAGGGCAGGTCCTGCCAGAGGCACAAGGGCGGGGGCGGTACAGTTGGCTATCTCAGGGACACAGGGCACAGGGGACCTACCAACATCACTGCTGCTCCCACAGCTGCTCCTGACACCACCGCCCGCACCTCCCCATGACTAAAGAAGAATTATCCCAAGTTAAAAAGTTACACATTTCACTACTGACATTCTACAATTTATACAAGCTTCTGGATTGTGTTACTTAAAAAATTAATCTTCCTTCTCCTTCCCTTTTCCTGCTGTGAGAAGAGCAGTTGTCATGGTACCCCTGGGGTGAAGGTGGATCCCTGGGGTGGAGCCTGTCATATTGTCATAGACGAAGAGAGCTAAGGAGGGAGAATGTGTGGTAGGGGAAGAGCCAAACATTTTGCTTCAGAGCCCAAGCATTAAGGCAGGAGGGGAAAACCGGCAAAGGGCACTGGGGTACAACAGAGTGAGAAGGATGTCTTCCAATGGAAGCAGCTCACCGTGGGATGTCAGAGTTTGAGTGGGGTAAGAAGTGTGTCCACCAACAGTGGAGAGACCAACATGAGGAGTCATAGCCAGAGCGCTGGGCGGGGAGGTGTCCCTGTATTGAAGCATGCTGGTATGGACTCTTAGATCCAGAATGGGGTAGGGGGATGGAGGAGATGTAATGAAGAATCCAAGTCCCAGCAGTGAGAGGAATGGATGGTAGTGAAGATGGGAGACTGAACAATAAGTATATACATTAAGGATAATGGAAGCCAGATTTCTCACTGTCAGAGAAGAACATTACAATATGAAAAAGGAGAGGCCGGGCGCGGTGGCTCAAGCCTGTAATCCCAGCACTTTGGGAGGCCGAGGCGGGTGGATCACGAGGTCAGGAGATCGAGACCATCCTGGCTAACATGGTGAAACCCCGTCTCTACTAAAAATACAAAAAACTAGCCGGGCGTGGTGGCGGGCGCCTGTAGTCTCAGCTACTTGGGAGGCTGAGGCGGGAGAATGGCGTGAACCCGGGAGGCGGAGCTTGCAGTGAGCTGAGATCACGCCACTGCACTCCAGCCTGGGAGCACAGCGAGACTCCGTCTCAAAAAAAAAAAAAAAAAAAAAAAAAGAAAAAGGAGAAAACTAGAATAGATCCTGGAATATTTTATTGAAATTGGAGGTATCAGTATGAATTCATAGTTTTCAATATACAGAGATAATAAATATAGATATAAATACATATGTATGTTTATGCATACATACCTAACCAGCCCTGACCATTAACAGGACCTGAAAGCAGTAACAACCCAACAGCAATAAATATACTAGCCTTGATTGAGATCTTAGCTTCTAAATGTCATTCTCCATTCAAAGGAACCAGGGATCCCTAAATGGCTGATTCCAGAATCAAGGCAGGGAAGGTACAAGATGAGCCAGGTACAGGTTCTTGTACCAAAAAGTAAAAAGATGTTCTCAAAGAGTGATGGGGATGTACCATAAGAACACAGAAGCCAGCTTGAACAGCTCTCATTGGCCAAATAAAGAACAATTTGAACATCAAAATAAATAATGCTATAGTCTGAATGTTTATGTACTCTCCCAAAATTCATATGTTAAAATCCTAACACCCAAGGTAATGGTATTATGAGGTGAGGACTTTGGGAAGTGATCAGGTCATGGGGGTGGAGCCCTTGTGAATGGGATTAGTTCCCTTTTTAAAGAGACCCCAGAGAGCTCATGTGACCCTTAAGCCTTATGAGGTTAAATTGAGAACATGGCTATGAGGAAGCAGGTCCTCTGACCAGACACTGAACCTGTCAGTCTTAATCTTGGATTTCTCTGCCTCCAGACTGTGAAAAATAAATTTCCATTGTTTGTAAGCCACCCAGTTTGAGGTATTTTTGTTATAACAGCCCGAATGGACTAAGGCAAATAGTAACAGAATATAATCCACTAAACACATACACACACACACATACACACACACACACAAAACCAAGACTCCATGTAGATGTCAATAAATGATTAAGAGTTTAGTGAGGAACAAGATATTTACATAGTTTCAAAGTACATGACAAAAACAATTAACTATTAACTTTATAGTGGAGAAAACTGACAGATATTACTTATATCAAGTAATCAGAGTAAAAATAACAATGAAACAAAGTGAAATTGTGCACCACCTGACAGGATGCAGTGAGCATCACTTCTGTGATATCCTTCCCAAGCACATATTCATATGTATCTAATCATGAAGGAACAGACAATCCCAAATTGAGGGGCAGCCTCCAAAGGAACTGACCTGTAATTGTTAAATGTCAGGGTCACGAAAGTTAGGAGAAGATAAAGGAAATGTTCCATATTGAGGGAGACAAAAGAGACATAACATGAATGCAACACATATTGCTAAACTGGATCCTTTTGCCAGTAAAGAGATTAACAGCACAATCAACAAAACTTGAACCAGTCCGAGAACTAGATGGAGTACTGTATCACTATTCATTTCCTGTTTTGGTTATTGCACTGTGATCATGTAGGAGAACATTCTTGTTTGCAGAAAATGCACATTAAAGTATTCTGGGATGACAGGGCATCAGGTCAACAGCTTCCTCTCAAATTGTTGGGGGTGGGGGAGAATTTTTTCTACCATTCTTGCAACTTTTTTGCAAGTCTGTTATTGTTTCGACACTGTTGGCCGGGCGTGGTGGCTCAAGTCTGTAATCCCAGCACTCTGTGAGGCCGAGGCAGGTGGATGACAGGGTCAGGAGTTCAAGACCAGCCTGGCCAGGATGGTAAAACCCCGTCTCTACTACAAATACAAAAATTAGCTGGCGTGTTGATGGGCAACTGTAATCCCAGTTACTCCGGAGGCTGAGGCAGAGAACTGCTGGGGTTGTTCTCTGGGAGGCAGAGGCTGCAGTGAACCGAGATGGCACGACTGCACTCCAGCCTGGGCAACAGAGCAAGACTCCGTCTCAAAAAAAAAAAAAAATTGTTTAGAAGTGTGGTGGGGGGGGAGGCGGCACAATGTCACTAAAAACTAAACAAGGTTAAAAAACTGATTTCCCACACTTAATCTTGATAGAAAAGAAACATCAGACTATGCAAAATTACTAGGAAATAAAATTTTGGAGCCAGAAGTTTAAAAATTTAATATTTCTCTTTAACAACTGACCTCAATCAGGTCATGACTGGTGAGAGACAAAAGAACATGAAAGGTTCCCACTAAAGGAGAGGAAGTTCTTAGGAGAGGAATAATAAAAGAGACAGTGGACCACGAGTGGGTAGAACAACGGCATTCTGGGCTACCAATGGCTATAACCATCAGGAAAACACAATCTCAGCATCTCTGAAAAATGAAGGGGCTGTAGAGCTGATATCTAAAATTCCTTGCAAATGTGGGACTAGAATTGCCCTGAAATAGAAGTGGTTCCCCAGTTCAATTTATTACATTATGCTTAGCTACACAGGAATACAAAAGAATACAAATACAGAAATAAACGTGCATGAACCCCGAATTCTCTTAAGTTGTGGAAGTCCATCAATTAAAGTATAAAATACAATGCATTTGCCCAATTGTTCCTAAGAAAATTCTGTGACAAAAGAACAATGAAAACACATTAGAGTGAAACAAGATCACCTTCAGCGGTCAGCTGGCTGTCCCTAGTTAAAAGACAAGTCATGTCATTGTTAAGTGACCGTCACATTTGTCCTGAAAGAATAGGGAGCATTTCCTAGAAAGGTGTAAAAGTACAAAGAATCCTTTCCCCTTCCCTGGTACTACGCGTTCCTTAGGACGGTCACTAGGCCCCCAACAGCACAGGGGTGAGGTAGCACTGGACTCTCAGCACTTCCTTTCGGAGAGGACAACCCCCTGCGTCACTGGTTACTCATTCAGGATGCAGGGCAGAAGTTTATCCCTGAGGAACTTAGCACAGTTGGCTCCTGCCCTCCCAGCCTTGCGGTCCTGGGCCCAATCCCAGGGCTCTGCCCCGGGTACCCGGCAGCCTCCAGCGGGAGGGTAGCGAGACCCCAACTCGCCTCCGGCCGGCCCAGCGGGTGCGCCCAGGGGCTGGGCAGACGCAGCGTCTTCCCTCCCACTACCGTCATGCCGGCCCCCACGCCCACCGCCAGGCTCGGCCCAGCCGAGAAGGCCGGACGCCGACCGCCCGCTCCTCCGAGACTCGGCCTGGCCCTCCCCGACGCCCGGCCCCGATGCCCGGCCCCGCGGAGCCCACTGGACAGCGGCCGGGGGGCGGGGAGGCCCGGGGGCGGCGCCGCCCCACACCCTTACCTGGCTTCTCATGGTCATAGCCTACCACGATGAAGTAGTCAGCCAGCCGGGCCATGGCCGCCGCCGCCGCGCTCGGGAAGCGGGTCCCCGTCGCCGCCCTCGCCGCCGCCGCCCACCCGGCCCGGGAGGGCTCAGCATTTTCCCTGCAGCGGCAGTAGCGGCAGCGGCAGCGCTTCAGCCATCTTTGACAACCGAGGCGCGCTCTGCGCTTGCGCGGCGCCTCGTGCCCGCTCCTACCCCGCCCCCACCCGCGCTGGCTCGGCTGCCCCAAGCCCGGGCGGCGAGCCCGCCCCAACCCTCGGCTGGCCTCGCGGACTGCTGCACTTGGGGAGTGGGCGGCCAGGCGCGTTCCCGCCACGCGCTGCCAATGCGGCCCCTGGAGGTGGTTTGAGGCCTGGATGTTACTTCTCGGCCCCCTCCCCCTCGTTGTTTTTCCTAAAGCAGGGGGTCCTTCCTTCCGCCTTCTCTATTCTGTTTGGATTTGGAAGAAGGGACGTGGAGAGTTGAGGGGTCACTTGGAAAGCTGGCTGCTGCTTCTGCTCCCCACCACCACCAAAGATGAAATTCTCCCGCCCTCGGTTGGAAGCAAGGAATTTGCACCGACAGGGCTTTTGCTGCATGTTTCCTGTTTATGTTGTGTAGATGGGAATTTTAGAAACATGCCACCGAGCAGACGGGGGAGGGAGAGGCTTTTGCGCAATTCTCCGAGGCGCCTCGGGTTTCAATGCCGGGTAGGCCGGGGGCGGTCGGCCTGGGCTTCCCCCGGAGCGCCCCGGGGAGCCAGATTCCACCGAGGAACGCGGCATCCCCGGGATCCTCCCGAACTGGGCTGGCCTCTCCCTAGGGAGCCCCGCCCGCCTCGGCTTGCTTCCCTCGCAGCGGTCCCAGGGCTCTCGCAGCCCGTACAGGTGGTGACTTCCAACTTCCCTGCTCAAACACGCACAAAAATGAATAAATGGTCCCGTCCTTCCGTCTCGGGATTATCCAAGTCGCATGCTTTTTTGTTGAACCTCATATTGACCATTTCGAATTTGGGTGGTGCGACATTCAGGTGAACTTATTTTGTCATTTGTTAATCTCTCACGAAGTTTTGGTAGGAGAATTTGAACAAGTGGTAGACCAAAGTTTTGGAAATCTCTGGTTTAGAAGTTGTCTTTGTGGTTGCTTATCACTGTTCACTATTAATTGAGGGTTTGATTCTTCATATTTACATATAAGACAAGGCCTCTTGGCAAAGTGTCTAGTATGTAGTAAGTGCCTACCAAATATTTTTAATGAGTAAAAGTGCGATTTTCCCCAACGACCAGCAGGAAGCCGCAGTGGTTCCAACTCTGAACTGAGGGAGTTGACATCTCAGCTCCTGCAGATTTACTCTGCTGTAACTTACTATTTCCCCTTCCTCTGCCACACTTGTTTCATCTACAAATTGGGAGGGTTGGGGGGCACTAGAACTGAAACTGAAGGAATACTTTAACTCCAGGAGCTCTATGTCAATTGCAAATGGTAAAACTGAATCAGCTGAATTTGCAAACGTGGAGGGAAGATAGCTTGATCCTGAAAATAATTAAACCAAAAAAAAAACAAAAAAAACCTCAGTCATACCCCATGTAGCAATCCTCTCTGTAACTTCCCTGAGAGCTCATCATCCAACTTGATCACTTCCAGCAAAGAATAATCTTCCTTGGGAGGCAGCCCATTCCACCGTTTAACAGCCCTCTTGTTAGAAAGTTCTTCCTTATTATTTTAGAGTTGTCTTACTGTAATTTCCCCTGATTCTGCTCTCTGGAACTATCCAGAAAAAAAATAAAATCTATCTTCATATGATAGATTTTTAAGGCAGCTATCATATTCCTTCCCGACTTCTTTTCTAAAAATAGGGTAAAATTCACATATCATAAAATTAGCCATTTTAAAATGTAGAATTCAGTGGCATTAAGTACATTCCCAATGCTGTACAACTACCGTGTCTATCTAGTTGCAAAACATTTTCATCACCCAAAAGAAAACCTCACAACCATTAAGCAGTCATTCTCGTTCCCCCATCCCACAGCCCCTGGCAATCACCAATTTGCTTTGTCCCTATGGATTTATCTATTATGAATATTTCATGTTTATATTATACAATATGTGACTTTTTGTGTCTGGGTTTTCTCCTTTAGTATATTGTTCTCAGCTTGTATACGGGCAGATGCAGTACAAGGTTGTAGCATCACATTGAAGTATCAACACTTCATTATTTTTTATGACTCAATAATATTCCATTGTATGTTGTATTAGACTGTTCTCACGCTGCTAATAAAGACAGGGTAGTTTATAAAGAAAAGAGGTTTAATTGACTCACAGTTGCACATGGCGGAAGGCAAGGAGGAGCAAGGCAGCAGACAAGAGAGCTTATGCAGCACTCTCCTTTATAAAACCAACAAATCTCGTGAAACTTATTCACTATTACGAGAACAGCGCGAGAAAGACCTGCCCCCCATGATTCAATTACCTTCCACCGGATCCCTCCCATGACAGGTGGGAATTATGGAGTACAATTCAAGATGAAATTTGGGTGAGGACACAGCCAAACCATATCATATGTATATACCATATTTTGTTTATCTGTAACAACCCATATAGACATATGGGTTGTTTCCACCTTTTGGCATTGTAAATAGTGCTGCTGCAAACATGCATGTACATGTATTTGAGTACCTGTTTTCAATTTTAGGGGATATATTCTTGGGATTGGAATTACTGGATTAAGTAGCAATTCTGTTACTACTGTTTCCCACCGTGGCTGCATCATTTTACATTTTCACCAGCAATGTACTAGGGTTCTAATTTCTCTGCATCTTTGTCAACTCTTGTTTTCCTGTTGTTTATGTTTTGTTATAGCTATCTTAGTGTGAAGTGATATCTCATTGTGGTCCTGTTTTGCCTTTCCCTAAAGACTAATGATGTTGAGGATCTTTTCATGTGTTTATTGGCCATTGCTAAATCTTCTTTGGAGAAATGTCTATTCAAGTCCTTTGCCCATTTTAAAATTGATTCTTTGTCTTTTTGAGATTGAGTTGTAAGAATTCTTTATATATTCTGGATACTAGTCCTTGTCAGATATATGATTTGCAGATATTTTCCCATTGTGTACGTTGTGTTTTAATTTTCTTTTTAAAATTTTTATGCCCTATTCCCCCCCAGATATTTCCTATTTTATTTTATTTTTCATTTTATTTTCATGTAGAGATGATGTATCATGATGTTACCCAGGCTGGTCTTAAACTCCTGTCCTCAGGCAATCCTCCCATCTAGCCCTCCCAACGTACTAGGATTAGAGGCATGAGCTTCCACACCCAGACTTCATTTTCTTGATAATGTCCTTTGGCGCAAAACAGTTTTTAATTTTGATGAAGTCAAATTTTTTAGTTTGTTTCTATGCTTTTAGTGTTATATCTAAAATTTTATTGCCATATTAAAGGTGAGATGAAGATTTACTCTTGTTTCCTTCATAGTTTTAGTTCTTCTATTTAGTACTTTGACCCATTTTGAGTTAATTTTGTAGTGGTAAGGGGACTCATTTTACCTTTTAAATGTCTTGGCTTTTATTTCATTTGCAGGTACTCATTTAAATTATTTTAATTTTTTAAAATTAAAGTTTGTTTTTAAGCCTAGAATCAAATGCTATCTGCTTTTAGGCATATTTCATCTGTTACTGTCATAAATAGACTTCCAGTCCATTTGTAAATGCCCATTTTGTCACATAGAGATTTTAACATATCCTAGGTATACGTAGAAAGGCACTGTATGTTTGTATATACATGTGAACATATTTTGTATACACTAAAGCTGTGCTTTGCTTCTCAGCCAACAGCTGCCAGGCTGCTGAAACTGATAAGCCCTGACAAGGCAGCCTGATTACTGAGGTTGGCGGAAAGCCAGACCATCCCCTACGATAACCACCATCACCTTTCACCAAAGAGAGAGAGAGTAAAGCAAGCCCAGATTTGTTTTCCTGAAGGCTGGTAGGAGCAGGAAGGGAGGAAGGATATGTAATACTCTCACGATGTGTACCTGGCAGATGCCTTTCTTTTTTGCTTTAGAAGACAAAATAGGTGGAGCGTGGCGGCTCACGCCTGTAATCCCAGCAGTTTGGGAGGCCGAGGCAGGTGGATCACCTAAGGTCAGCAGTTCGAGACCAGCCTGACCAACATGGTGAAACCATGACTCTACTAAAAACACAAAATTTAGCTGGGCGTGGTGGCAGGTGCCTGTAATCCAAGCTACTCAGGAGGCTGAGGCAAGAGAATTGCTTGAACCCGGGAGGCGGAGGTTGCAGTGAGCGGAGATTGCGCCATTGCACTCCAGCCTGGGCCACAAGAGTAAAACTCCAGCTCAAAAAAACAACAAAACAAAACAAAAAGACAAAATAGAGCTGATTATCAGTGAGCGAGGCGTATCAGCCCATTGCTCCTAGTGGGCTGTTACGGAGTAAGTGGTTTGATCTGTACAGTCATTTCAAGTGCTTGCTGTGGTTAGCCACAGTAGTTCAAGGAGGCAGTATGAGAGTTAGACTTGAGCAAATGTCAGCAGGCAGGGCTAGGGCCTCTTCAGAGCGTCTCTACCAAAGCGTAACAAAGGAGACTATGCAGCTGTGTTGGAAAATTCCCTGATCCATTGCTATATTTTCAACCATTTAGTTCCTAAGCAAGAAATTTAATAAATATTACCTTTGACAGCTGTCTCTCAGCCCCACATTCATCACTCAGTCCTATTGTTCCTACTTCCCAAATATGTCCACTTCTCTCCACTCTTACTGCCACCCCACTAGTCTGAACCATTATCACCTTCTACCTTCATTATTGCAATAGGTTCTTAACTATTTTCCTAGCTTCACTGCTGGTTCCAAACTTTCTATATAGGTAAAAGTTAAGGACAGTAAGCAGGTTATTGAACCTGTCTCAAAATTAAATTTGTATAGCAAACAAACCATTTCTATCTTGAGTGTGTTTGGGGTGCAAAGAAGAAGCTTCATAGATGACACAGAAAGTGTCCTGGCCGGGCACGGTGGCTCATGCCTGTAATCCCAGCACTTTGGGAGGTCAAGTCGGGCGGATCATGAGGTCAGCAGATGGAGACCATCCTGGCTAACACGGTGAAACCCCGTCTCTACTAAAAATACAAAAAATTAGCCGGGCGTGGTAGCAGGCACCTGTGGTCCCAGCTACTCAGGAGGCTAAGGCTGGGGAATGGCGTGAACCCAGGAGGTGGAGCTTGCAGTGAGCCAAGATCGTGCTACTGCACTCCAGCCTGGGCGACAGAGTGAGACTCCATCTCAAAAAAAAAAAGAAAGTGTCCTGCAGTTGAGGTCACATGTGTGATGAGATGAATGGTTGAATCTTAACATTCATTTGAAGTATCCCTGACATTAGCAGCTACAGTATAGGTAGGTACTGTAAGAGTTTATAGGCTGCTTTTACTTAGATTGCATGTTTGATGAGCAGGACTGGCTACATAATATGTGGAGTCCAGTGCAAAATGAAATGTAGGACTGCCTGTTCAGAAGTGTTGGAGAATTTCAAAACAGCTTCAGCAGAGCATTTCACCAAGTGTGGGCTCTTCTGAGAGCAGGCCGTGTGCTACTGAACAGAATGCAGTGAAGTTAGTCAGTGAAGCTGGTAAACTTCAGGGTGGAATGAGTATATGTATGTGGGGGAGGGAGTATAATAAACAACGTTATGGGGGGACTAGACCCTCTCCAGTCTCTCTAGAGTACCACCACTGCGCTGCTTCCTTTCTTGCTCCTTTCTCGACTATCTACCACATT